GCGCACACACACACACACTCCCCGTGAGCGGTTCGTGGGGGGAAGTTGAGTGTGTCTGTAGATAATGTGACAGCTTCCTCCCTCCTTCTCCTTTCTTCGGGTTTCTTCGGTGGATCACGCGTTTCGTTTTGTGTTGACATTATCTGTTGCTGCACATGGCACTGCAGTTGTCACTTTCACTCTCTGTGACACACACGCACGCACAAACACGCACACTCTCACAGCTCTTCCCTGTATGAACAACTGAGCCACTGCACGGTATCAGATCTATTGTCTAAGCAGATGCTTCCTTTTAAAGTGTGTGTGTGTGTGTGTGTGTGTGTGTGTGTGTGTGTGTGTGTGTGCGTGTGCGCGTGTACACTGCGCGGCACTTGGCTCGTCTCTGCTCAGCCAGTGCAACTTTGTGTAATTGTGTAATAGAGCAGCGTTGAAATGAAAGTATGTGGACAATTGTTTTATGGTTCTTTTCATCTCCGCGGTAAATAATGTGCTCGTTTGACCTTTTATGGATGTTGCTCTCGTTTTTCCTCCCTTGTACATTTGGACTTTCTCTCACGTTTTATTGTTTTTCTCTGTCTCTACACTCAGTGCTTCTTTTTAAAATCAGTGAAATATCATGGTCTATCAGGACGTGATCCTGTCGGCTCAGTTGCTAAAATGTTTCACTCTCCAGACCAAAGAAATATTAAACAACTAAAAAAAAAAAAAAGGAGGGAAAGGAATGAGAAAGCGAGATAAACGGATATAAATGGTGAAGCGATGCTGGAGGAGAGTTAGAAAAAGGAGAGCGCCGTCCCTATGATGTACTCCGAGGAAACATTACGAGGCGTCATAGACGGAGTTTATAGAGCTTCCCCATGTTTCACAGGGGTATTAAGTGTCCCCCGTGCTTCTCTTTCTCTAAACACCTTGCCAACTCTCCCGTCGCGGCCATTAAACCGCTTTGACGGCCTCCTTTCTCCCACTTCTCCCGTGTGTCTGCGTCCTTTAAAGCCTGCTTCTCCTCTCCTCTCCCGTCCCTGCGCACCGATTGGCCGGTTGGGGGTCGTCGTGCAGGACGCCGTCCCGGCCCTTTGCGTGTCCATGTGGGCCGGGAGGAGGATCGGTTTCCTACATGCCGTCGCGGTGTAACATTTGATCGGCCACTCGAGGCATATTTAGCTGGGCTGATCTTTCCAACGCACAGGCGGGCCGGTCGCAGGAAAGGAGTGGCGCTTTCTCGATTGTTCAGTTGCCCTTTCATATTTTTGTTATCTTAAGACGATGAATGGAGGAGAGTGGAGGGTTAGAAAGGAGTGGATCAAAGAAATGAAGGAAGGAAAGGAGTAAGTGAACAAGTGCCTAATCAAAGGACATTAACCTTTCACTGTATTGTTCTTTAGTGTCTAAATATAGACTGACCTCATGGCAATTGTTTGATAAGAATCCTACACCCTATGAAGGCAACTGTGGGAGACAAAGGAGGAACATTTAATTTAATGCAGCGGTTCAACATTTTGGGAAAACTTTTGTTGTCATCCATAGTTAGACGGCATGATCATTACTACGCTCTTTTCTCCGTGGGGCGAAATTTTGGAACTTGGAACGATACATAAATTAATCCGGGTACCTTTTGGAGCAAATTTAAGAGGCTGCTCTTCTAAGAATTTTGTGCTTCTGCACTGTTGTGAACTGTTAACTTACTATGACTTTGGTTTTTCCTTTTTTCTATTACTTAAATTACCCATTTTTTGACACTAGGCTACTTGCAGATTCCCTCAAAAATATAAATCAACGGATGCTTACATAAATTCTGATAGGTAGTATATGGCCTATTCAAATAAGCCCCACTTTTACCGGCTAAAGTTGAACCAATAACTATAATCCAAAGAGCCACTTGACTTTCTCCTTCCAGGACGAGGTATAAGTGGCTGTGCATCTTAAGCAGTATTTAGGGTGTAATATCTTGGGAACAGGCAGCAAAAGCACTACCAAAAGTACGGGGACATTTTCTCATTCATTTCAATGAAAGTGTCCAAACCTTTGACTCGTGCTGTAGCTTCTGTGGTCGATGGTAGAAAATGTGAACGGAATCGGAATGCAGGTATTACTTCCCCGGTTCCCACGGACCCGACAGGACAGACCGCATTGCAGAACACCGTGCATAGCTGCGATCCAAGGGTGACACACATACACACACACACACACACACCACCTAATCAACAGCTTAGTGAAACAAGTATACAACATTCTCTGCTGCAGGCTCATTGGGAGCAGTAATGAGCCTGCAGCAGAGTCCGGGGTGATGAATGCAGGCGGCTCGGGTTTGAGCTTCGCAGCACCGGCAGATGAATGGAGCGCTCCTCCAGCTGTCCCGCTAGCTAAATGTTACACTCTTGAAACACACACACACACACACACACACACGCGCTAACTGAGCAGAAGGCAGGAATAACTTAGGAATGTGCTGTCGGAGATGACCAACCTTCACACGGACACACACGGCGGGTGCTTCGATACACAACAATGTGCCAAACGCGCACACGTTTCACTTCTCTAAGCGTTTACACGCTGACACTTTTGCACTCGACGGAAGGGAAAATTCCCTAGTGGAGAATCGCTCACGCTTCCATTTCAAAAGCTTTTAATGTGTGCTTGCTCGTGCGCCTTCTCCACACTCGCATGCACACGCCTACCGGCATCTTGCTCAACAGGTCAGGATGTTTCACAAGTCGGGACCTGCCTGTCGAGGATATGCCTGCTTGTGTACTGTTGCGTGTGTCTGTGGGGGTTTCACATTACTAACCAGTGAGAAAAATGTGAACTGTTAAAGACTCACTTACACACACACACACACACACAGGCGGCAGACAAAGTTGTAGTCCCATTACTGCGGCCTCAAAGGAGTCACAGTGGCAGAATGAAACCACGGCCTGTGGGAGAAGAGGTGTGTGTGTGTGTGTGTGTGTGTGCGTGTGCGTGTGCGCGTGTGTGAGTTCTGCAGATCCAGAAGTGTTTTTTTTCACCCCCCCAGGAATTAAGTAATTCTCCAAAGGCCAATCGGAGGACAAAGTTTGAAACGTAGTTTAATCCGATTGGTCCACATCTTGCACCCCGCCCGTCCCGGGGGAAGGACCGCCAACAACAGGGTGATTCGGAGGCCCAATGTAGTCACAAAAGGAGAAATGACGAAGCCATGCGCTCCAAAACCTGATCTAAGGATATTGACTTTAAAAGAGACACCTGACAATGTGCTTTAATGAAACCTCTTAAAGCAGGGAAAATGGAAATCAAAATGCAATCAAAGCCTCGGGGGCGGAGACGTGGATCAAATGAGCAACATAGATGTAGTAAGAATGCTTTGGGAGTGAGTGCAGGACTAAACAAATATTTACAGTGCGTCCTCTGTGTTTATGGCTGGGTTTACGACCACACTCCTCCTCTTGCCCTCGTCTTCGTCCACAGACCACGCTGTCCTTCAGGCCAAGGTGGCCCTTAGGTCTATTTTTGCCATTGTGCGGTACGACTATGGTCCAATGTTCTGTGTGCGTGCGTCGATAGAGGCGGTATGTGTGTTGCAGTATCAGTCATGGTGCTCTATTCCAAAGATATGTCTTAAGATGTGTGTGTTTTTATTTCTCCCACGGTCTCACACAAGCACACACACACACGCGCGCACACACAGAGTTTATATGGCACTGGCCGTGTTTTATGTCTGGAGAGGCAGTTGAAACTGATAAAAGATGGATAAAATGTATTTAATGGAAGCGGGAGAGACTGAACATAAACCCACCAAAATCACTCTTTGGTTCCATCAGTTTTTCTGCTTGCTGCTTCCTATACATTAATTGCAAACCTCCAAAAATATTGATATAAAAGTGGACTGTCATTCCCACGTGGTTCATAAACATAGTTACCCCTTTATCAGTTAACTTGAACTCTTTGCTGTTTGGTATTGTATCGTATGTTATTGAACAAATGCATTGACCCTAACATAACCTGATTATGCCATCTCTAATGCTGGAGCTATGTTGTTATAAAAATAGGATATGATTATTATTTCCCAGAAAGTAAAAATGAAAATAAATTACTTCCACTACTCTTCGCTTAGTGAGGACATTAAAGGGCCGTGGTGCATTTATCATTGACTTTCTTTTGTACAAGTTAAATTGATTTATTTAAATTTTGAAATGTAGTAAATTGCTACCATTGCTAAATATCACGGAGCTGTACACTAGAGACTAAGGCCCTCATGGACGTACATTTGCAAAAGTAGCGTTTTCAGCGACAAAGCGCTCGCTGTGATACTTCAGCTCAACGGGTAACCAGCGCCTTTCTCCGCCCACAATACCGCACATTGTGTGCATTTAAACGCACAATTGAATGGCCCTCCTTCTCTATTTCTATTGTGAGTGCAGACTGCGATATTCCCACTGCTGATGCTATGACTGTTTGAAATGATGCCAACGCTTGTAACGCAGCGAGGAGTTTAACAATTGCTGAAATGGAATGTGAACGCTGAGTGAACAATTATTTTGCGTGGCTGCTGAATCTGTAACGTGTAATGATTTTTTTTTCCCACATTCTGGTGTTCTGTACATAACCGGGCGCTCTTTTTACGCATCCTCTCCCATCTCTTTATGGGAAACTCCCCCTTTCCCATTGAGCGTCGCGTGAATGCAAATGCATGACACGGAAAAGCGCAATTTGACCTTTTCTCTATGCTTTCACGTGTCATGAACATTTACCGCCTGTATACAATTGTTATGGCAAATCCTCCCATGGTTGGTGATTGATATCAGTCTGAACCAAAGTGGGAGACGGACCAACCAATGAACGCGACCATTCCTAGAACACCACTAATGTGGCAGAGATGTTTGACGTAGATGTGTATGTTGAGACGAAGCCCTCTTTTTTACACTATTTATGCAAAACTAATCTCACTGTGTCCCACCTTTTGATCTGCTAACGTGGACTCTCTGTTCTACTCATCGAGTATATCTGTCATATCTGTCATTTAGGAGGTGGAGATTCTTGACATCAACACCATCAGGGACACCAGAACCGGAAAATACGCCAAACAACCAAAGGTCAGTAATGTGTGTACGTCTTTGCGTGTGACAGAAAGAAGCTGTCGCCTCCCGCTGTCGATAACTTTGTCCACCGACCAGACCAATGTGTGACTGTCCCACAAAATATGCGTGTGCGTGTTTGTGCGTGTGGGCACTTCCACTCTCAGCTGACGGCGTGAAAGGTGAGAGAGCGCTAATGAGTCTGCTGACAGATGGGCGTCAGACAGGAAGTGATATAACCAGTGACCGTTGGGGAGGAAGTCGCTGCGTAAGATCGTGGCTCGAGCCGAGGGATCGAGCTGTGTGTCCGTGGCTGGAGCATGTGCACTTGTTGACATGGTTCAGGCCTTGATTTAAAAAAACAACCAAAAAAAGAGTTGATGCTGTGTTGCTGTGAAAAATCCACAGAACACACTTAAAAAACGGCTTTACGAGGACCTTTTATTTAGTAGATAGGAGTTCCAAAGAAAAATCGTTAATAGTGAGGTCTGCTTACTGTCTTTAGTCACAGGAAGGCTGTTGGAGGTTCTCTTGATTCGAGTGTGCTGCTCCTTTACAGTCTTGCTTTCTGCTTGATAGCAATAGCCACTGTGTGCTCCTCCATAGCAGTATGTTTCTGGATAAACAGTCTTCCAAGTGAATTCATTTAATTTAAATGAAAGAGAGACACGATGGAGAGTGAGTGACTGGAAGAATGCACTGAATTGATGGAGAGACGCTGAGCGTCAGAAGGAGAACTGGTGGGAACAACAGAGTGGTTTAAAAAGGAGGAAAGAGTCATTTGCTTAATTAGATCAGAGTCCTACCGCACATGCATCACGTTTACTGTTCCTAGGAGCCGCAGAGATGGGGTCATGAGCGGGAAGGATGTAAAAAGATCTTGTGCACAAGTCAAACCAGCAGTGTTGGTGATATATTGTGTGTCATGTCTAAATTGGCTGTGCTGTGTGTGTGTGTTGGTTCGTGTGTCAGGACGCCAAGGTGCGGGACGTGCTTGGCTTCGGTAAGGGTGAAAACGTTGAAGGGAAGCTGGTAACGGTTGTCCATGGCAATGACCTGGTCAACATCTCCTTCCTCAACTTCCAGGCTATGCAGAAAGATGCAGCAAAGGTAACCATGGAAACCGGCCCCACCGCCGTCCCATAACCTACCCACTTACTTTTACTTGCCTTTTAATATTCCTTCCTTCCTGTCGTGCCCTTCCTCCTTATCCCCCTCGACTTGTTTCTTTCCTTCCCCTGATTACTCATTTAACTATGTTGACATCCAGGCATCTGCGTTGTAAAGAGTGACTCTTTCCTGTGTGTGTTTGTGGGGGTTTGTGTGTTGTGTATAGAAACAATTTCCCTTAGTTTTCACATCAGACGCAGTCAAACGACCTTGTTTTAGCATCTCACGCCTGTGTTTTTCCAGATTTGGACGGATGAGCTGTTCACTTTGGCCACAAACATACTTTCCCAGAATGCATCGCGGCACACCTTCCTCCTCAAAGCGTGAGAAGCTTTTATGTCCTCTTTTGACATTAGCAAACATTCTTGGACCGTTGTGTTTTTAAAGCCTCTGTCTGTTTCAGGTACACAAAGTTGAAGCTGCAGGTGAATCAGGATGGAAAAATCCCTGTGAAGAAGTAAGAAACCATTTTAAAGTCTACACAGAATTTTAAACACAAGTGTGTTCAGTCTTTCTCTTGTAACTCTTTGTTATGTAAATGTGATCCTTTCGGACTCTGCTAACGGTCTAATTCTTCATGTTTGATGTTCACAGTAAAACATGAAAAACACCTTCTAAACAGCCTCTCTAAACTTTCTGTTTCTTTCAGCGTTCTGAAGATGTTTTCAGATAAAAGGCGCGTGGAGACGGCTCTGGAGCAGTGTGGCCTCGTCAATAACAAGGTAATCATCAGAAGTGATCGCTGACCACAGGGTTATTCACAATCTGCCTGTGTGTTTTGCTTCATACGTGAGATTTGAATCGCCGCAGCTCGTTCTCTCACCCTGTGGTGTTGCACAGCATTCTTTGCATGCCTCTGCAAACTGACGAAGGCAAAGAAGGGGCTGCGGGCCTACAGGACCGTCGCCATTGAAATACACCTATTGATTGAACTGTCAACGGTGTCGCAAGGATGAAGCACACAAGTTTAGTTAGTGAGTTTTACAAATGCTGGTGGGTGGATTGTGTCTCAGCCGGGGGGTTTGCCCCGGTCCCTCCGGTCTGGGCAGAGCCGAGCCGACCAGTTGCCGTCCGGTACCCTCGTGTCTACCACACAGTAGAGTCCTGTTTTTCTTCTCTTCTTTCAACAGGAAAGCAAATAAGCTTTTAAATAATCTCCCTCATGTTAAACCATCCATTTGTCATTCATTCATGTATGTTGCCATTTGGGTTTTACAGATACTAGATTTGATATAGAAATAATATCTGGCTTAATTTATTATTTTAAGCTTAAGAGTCCAACATCATGTCAGAGGCCTTGATTTTTAACATTGTCTAAGGTATCAAAGGCCTGTGGTTTGCTAAGTTTTAACTAGGTTTTGTATGCATTCATAACCTCTGCAATCTTTCTCAAAAATCAGTTTGGAGTCACAAGACATTTCTTTTTTGAATAAGGGACCAGATTGTGCAAACTGCACTGTCAGTGTCTCTGTCCATTGTTGTGATGTAGTGCCTCCTGCCGGCTGAATAGGACATCACACAAGTGGATGAAGACTGAGAATGCATTTTATTTCTTCCTTTTCCTGCATATCTTTTGACACAATCCCCACTGTTCTCTTTCAGGCTGAGGGAATAAAGCCAGACGATTTCACGTGGGAGGCCTTCCAGAGGTTTCTCGACAGCCTCTGTCTGCGGCCCGAGATACAGAGCATCTTTGAGGAAAGGTTTGGGACCTTTGTTGACACGTTTTCAAAGTTATGTTTTCACGGTTGCCAGTCCCCATAATCCTTTCAGTAACTGTATCTCTTTTCTCCAGCGGCTCCAAGAGGAAGCCGTTCATCTCTCTGGACCAGTTGATGGACTTTATTAACCGCAGGCAGCGAGACTCCAGGCTGAACGAGGTGCTGTACCCCCCCTTGAAAAGGGAACAGGTCCGACAGATCATGGAGAAATACGAGACCAACGCCAGCCAGCTCGAGAGAGGTTAGCCACTTTTTTTTTTAGTTCGTCTTCTGTTTATATCCAGAGCAGCTTAAAACATGCAATCCTCTTTCCTGAGATAGAAATAATGCAGTAAATAATTCCAGCATATAAAAATCAGTCCGTACTCGGCTGGACAACAGGTTAGTGTACGTGCAGCTGCATCATCTTGTTTGGCACAAAGCAAGGTCTACTGATTACAGATTTCTAAGTACGACTGATTTCTTGTGGTTTCATTGCAGCACCAAACCAAGGATCTCTTTCCCTCACGTCAAACACCCAGAGTGTATTTGCGAATCTTATGAAATGTACTCCACATGTTTTGTTGTGGAAAAACTGTACAAAACCAGAGAACAAACAGACCCTGGCTACCGGTACGCTGCTCCGCTAGGACACCGCTAAGCCCAAATGTGTAAGACGATCCACCATCCAGCCCACAGTGCTCAGATGGTTGACGTCCAAAAACTGCCCTTTGCTCTTTTGGGCAGTTTACTCCTAGTGCACATGACGTAAATTTAGTATAGGATCCTCCAGTCTTTGCCGAAAACAAGTTTGACCTTTTTATGGTCTGTAAACTCTCCCTCTGTCACATACACAGACCAGATCAGTTTGCAGGCTTTCAGTCGCTACCTGGAAGGAGAGGAAAACAGCATCGTGCCCCCAGAGAGGCTGGACATCATCGACGACATGAACCAACCACTGTCCCACTACTTTATCAATTCCTCGCACAACACGTACCTCACGGGTGAGCGAGTACTCACATTAACCAGCAACAGCTCATTGCACACATTTTTTTTTTGCATGGGATCTAAAACCCTCTTTTCCTGCCTTTTGACCGCGTGTCCTCAGTGGGTCAGCTGACTGGCCTGTCGTCAGTGGAGATCTATAGGCAGGTGCTGCTGACCGGCTGTCGCTGCGTTGAGCTGGACTGCTGGAAGGGCCGGCCTCACGACGAGGAGCCTTACATCACCCACGGCTTCACCATGACCACTGAGATCCCCTTCAAGGTGGTGTTCATTGCTTCGTGGCATTCGTGTGGTTTGGTATTTGTGTCACCTTGCTTGTGTTATTGCTCTGATGTCATTTTAAAAAGAATAACTGCGTTGCGACCCAATCCGACAAATTGTTTGAGTGTCATCCTAACGTTCTCGTTTTGACCCCGACTGTAGGAGGTGATCGAGGCGATAGCAGAAAGTGCTTTCAAGACATCGCCGTACCCCCTCATCCTGTCCTTTGAAAACCACGTAGACTCGTAAGTCTTGGGCCCTGTTTGTTACAACCGTTCCACATGTAAAGGGTTCATTCTGTGAATCCTACTGAATCCTCCACGACGGCCCTCAAGGGCCCGCTTCCGGTGTGGCGGGTTGAGGTACCCAGACAACTTACCTGTGTGTGCCTCTTGATCTGTCAGGGCCAAGCAGCAGGCCAAAATGGCAGAGTACTGCAGGACCATCTTTGGAGACGCCCTGCTCATTGAACCACTGGAGAAGTATCCGGTGAGACTGATCTTCAGACACACACACGCCCCATTTATGTCTTAACTTCAAATCTACACATGACTTACACACACACACACAACATCATCCTGCTCCCAACATTTAGATCTTTGACGAGTAGACCTTCTTTTTCCCGATGTGACGTTATGAGTGGTTCTAACAGTGTGCCTGTGAAATGTCGTTAGCTGGTCCCCGGTCAGGCCCTCCCTTCTCCACAGGAGTTGCTGGGTAAGATTCTCATCAAAAACAAGAAGAAGCACCAGCACCACCGACCCTCGAGTAGCGGAAGCATAAGACGCAGAGAGCTGGAGGAACAGTCGTCGCCCAACATCGGTGAGTTCAGGCGACCTCCTGCATCCCTTTTGTGTGGCACGGAGGTCCGATGCTCTGCGGGTTTGGATCCCTCTCACGCACGTCACCAGTGTTTTTTGCCATTGACACAAACTGCACATAGATCAGGGGTCTCAAACTCAAGTCAGGTACGGGCCAGATGCAGCCCACCTCGACCGAACGCGGGCCAGACCATTATGGCCGACGGGGGGGATGACACTGACGGTCCGACCGGCGAACGGAACGGTCTGCGCTGGGGTGGAGGTTGTAAGTGGCTGCTAACAGCGAGGTTGCTACAATATGGAACTCGCGGGCCGCACTAACATTACACTTTCATATGAAGGCGGTGGCCACAAAATATTGTCCCGAGGGCCGCAATTGGCCCGCGGGCCGCGAGTTTGAGACCCCTGACATAGATGCTCACCCTCTGCTTTTGCGTAGACTGCCCACTGATGGACAGCGAGGGAGGCCAGCCGCTCTCCAACGGGGAGGAAAAGCTGGTTGAGAGGATGGTCAAAGACTTTGAGCCTCGCAAATCCCTGGGTGAGTTGCAGGGGGAACGGCGAGGGCGGGCGGATTGGATTCTAAAGTCAGACGTTGTGGCATAATGTGCAATCGAAACTCTGCTCAGGAGGCGAGGGGGAAAGCGAGGAGGACGAGGACGACGAGCCGACGGCGGAGCTGAAGAAGCCAAACTCGGACGAGGTAAGAGCCGGCGGGAACGGGGCCGGCGGCTGGTTGGACGGGACGAGGGGCCGATTGGCGGATCTCTGACGGCTATCTGCCTCCCGCAGGGTACCGCCAGCAGCGAGGTGAACGCCACCGAGGAGATGTCAACTCTTGTCAACTACATCGAGCCTGTCAAATTCAAGAGCTTCGAGGTGGCAAACAGTAAGTGTGTGTGTGTGTGTGTGTGTGTGTGTGTGTGTGTGTGTGTGTGTGTGTGTGTGTGTGTGTGTGTGTGTGTGTGTGTGTGTGTGTGTGTGTGTGTGTGTGTTTGAATTTGAGGGGGCGTTGACAAGCCTCACTGCTTTTAACTACCTCTCTGGAGTAGCTCATTAGGCGGACCGGTCCGCTGTGTGTACTCATTTGTGGTCAATGATTGGTCTCACAGATTTTCTAAATCAATTTCCGTAGTGGTGAGTTCTTTCGCTTATTTCGCTCTCCATCTGTCCACCAGAGAGGAGGAAGTTCTTTGAAATGTCTTCGTTGGTGGAAACTAAAGGCATGGACACCCTGAAGAGCTCCCCCATCGAGTTTGTCGAGTATCCACCCCCCCTGTTCCTTCACGGAAAACCCGCTTTGAGAGATGTGCTAATGTGTACGTGCATAAACGTTTGTGTGTTAAAGTGCTTATTTTGTGTTTAAGCTCAAGTCTTCAAAGCTTTGACTTTAAAACACGCACATAATCACGTTTGTCTTTTTATCTGCCACGTTCAATAACATTTAACCAGCGGTCAGTGCCCACGTGGGCCACATACACGGCGTTTGGCTCTTAACAGCACTCCTCCAGGTACAATAAGAATCAGCTGAGCCGAATCTACCCCAAAGGAACCCGGGTGGACAGCTCCAATTACATGCCTCAGCTCTTCTGGAATGTGGGCTGCCAGATGGTGGCGCTAAACTTCCAAACACTCGGTGAGTTTGTTTCAGATGCATCCACGGGAGGAATAAACACAAATAGGATATTGTGTCCCTTTTAAAATAATTGCAATGTCCGGGACATCCAAGTCAAAGCATATAATGTGACCTATCTTCTGAAATATAACTTTTACTCCCTCATTCCCCTCATTTCCATTTCTCGCCTCTCCATTACGCTCTGCTAGACCTTCCTATGCAGCTGAACATGGGCGTGTTTGAGTACAACGGCCACAGCGGCTACCTGCTGAAACCTGAGTTCATGAGGAGGACGGACAAGCACTTTGACCCTTTCACAGAAAACATCGTGGACGGTATCGTCGCAAATACAGTCAAAATCAAGGTAAAGTGGAAAAAAAAGTGACTTTTCTTTTTTTTGTATTCAAGTTCTTTGTGAGTTTTTACTGTGAACATACGTCATTTAACACCCACCAGGTGCTCTCGGGCCAGTTTCTCATCGATAAAAAGGTGGGCGTGTACGTGGAAGTGGACATATTTGGACTTCCTGCTGATACGAAGAGGAAGTACAGAACCAAAACATCCAACGGGAACTCGCTGGACCCCGTGTGGGACGATGAAATGTTTGTGTTTAATAAGGTGCTGTTTCCAGGATTTCTTTCTCTCGCCCTTCAATGTTGGTCACTTCGCAAACTCGTAAATGCTCTCTAAACCTCTCCGGTGGAATAAACAACCCTGTGTCTCTCCAGGTGGTCCTTCCCACGCTGGCCTCTCTGAGGATAGCGGTGTTTGAAGAAAACGGCAAGTTTATTGGACACCGGATCCTCCCCGTGTCGGCCATTAGACCGGGTGAGTACACGTTCCCAAACACCCGTAAACACATCCGGGCGCTGCCGAGGGTTAAGAGTCGAGCCCGGTTGACACCAAACAGATGCTCTGTACGTCTGACCTCAGTGGGCACGGTGCTGGAGAGGGTGGTCTGGGTTGTCCGCTGTGGATGCTTATTTCTCCAGTGTCCCCCTAGTCATTTGTGTGTGTCTATTTGTCCCTCTCCTTCCTGTTTAGGGTACCACTACATCAACCTGAAGAACGAGCTGAACCAGCCCCTGCTCCTGCCCTCGCTGCTGGTTTATGCCGAAGCTCAGGACTACATCCCCAATGAACACCAGGGTGAGAACTCACTGGAAAGCAAATGGATGTAGAGATCAGAAGGTCAAATCCAGCACTTTCAATTTGCACAGAGACACGTGACTTGACTAGGACTTACGTGATAAATATGACAAAGCACCCTATGGTCTAGAATATGCAATCGCATGGCTATCCGTGAACTAAAGGCACTGTTTGTCTTGTTTGTGTGTGCATGTGTGTATTTTCAGAGTACGCAGAGGCTCTGACCAACCCCATCAAACACATCAGTCAGTTGCATAAGAGAGAGACGCAGCTGGCTGCTCTCATAGAGGACAACAGCGAGGTAAGACACTTACAACCAACCCGAAAAGCACGTCCTCCCTCCTCCCACCCCGTTCAGCTCATCTTCCTGTTGTTTTCCTCCAGCATGTCCCCAACCAGCCCAAAGACGGAGAGAAGACAAAGATGGAGTGGGAAGACATTTCACAAAGTCGACCCCAACTCCCCGTTCCAGTACTGGAAAATGCCCCCGACATCATCAAGTTACCTGCACCGGGTAGAGACCTCTCTCAAACACGTCCACATGTTGTCTCAATGTCTACGCATGTAAACACACACACGCACACACACACACACCCATGTCATTTATCTGCACACGCCTTTCATTCCCTTCCCCATGTCCTTTTAAAAGGATTGCTCCATGAGATTTTAGACCAAGTTTGGCCGTCTACATATTTCTCCTAATGCAGTTGTTACGCAGTCTGGACGGAGGGCTTTGTCTGCTCTGACTGTTCGTCTACGTCTCAATTCGTGGGTTGCGTCCCCATGAGGAGCTGGTCTGGCTCCTCCAACGGCCGCATAGGCTGAACCAAGCCGTACTTTGTGCTGTAAATTAGCGGATTATATCCTTGTGAGAAATCAAAAGTATCTTAAAGAATACAGAAATAGTCAAACGCCAGCCGTAAGCACAGGCGGGAGTTCAATGACTCAATTTAGCTAAAAAGGGACAGAGTTTCCTGCTCCTGTGGGGTACAAGAAAGTCTGACCAAGCCCCTGGTGTAAAGAGAAAACATTAGAAGTTAATGAGAGACTAGTGTGTGCATGAGATTACCCCCCCCCACCGTGTTTTTACTCAACTCTGGGGGAAAAACTTTGTGTCCATGCAAACTGTGCATTTCACGCAATGTTTATTTAAAATTATTTTTAGAAATTTCTTCTTTATGAGAAATATTGTTTGTCTGATTAACTTCCCATCATCCATTTCACACATGCTGTCTCTGTGCTTCTCCTCCTGTGTTTCTTTTGTGTTTGTGGTCGCGCACTCGTGTTTATGTGTGTGTGTGTGTGTGTGTGTGTGTGTGTGTGTAGCTCAAAGTCCAAAGGAAGACCTCATTGCCACTGTTCTAGCAGGTGAGGTCACTTCAGCACGTTCCTTCTCACACAGAAACCCGTTAAACAACCTGTCCTTCACGTAGAGCTTAAGATGGACAAGCCAGGAGCTGGTTGGTGAATTCCACCCAATGATGTGATGATTGGCCATGATCGTATCATTCCGCTTGCTCCTCAGAGGTCCAGGCTCAGTCCATAGAGGAGTTGAAACAGCAGAAGAACTACCTGAAGGCGCTAAAGAAACAGGGAAAAGAAATCAAAGAGATGCGTAAGAAACACCTGAAGAAGGTACACTCACAGAGTTGAAACTTTCAATTCATATTTTCATCCATAGATTGCATAGAAACTGGAGATGAAAAGGCCACTATGTTGGCAAAAATTGCTTCCCTTTGTTAATGCAACACAAAACAGCTTATCTACATTTAGCTTGTGCGTGTTGTTGTTGTTGTTGTAGGTGTGGAACCTGAGTAAAGAGCAGAAGAGTCGCAATTGCCAGCTTCAGTCCGACACCCAGAGGAGACGCAGTCAGATGGAGAAGCACCTCAAACGTAGCATCAAGAAAAAGTAGGGAGAGAGGATGGATGGATGTGTGGGAACCGTACGATAAAGTGTGTCCATCAATCGATTGGTGATGTGACGACAAATGGAACTAAACTGTGTGTCCTGATCTAATGATACTGATGACTGTGTGTGTTCAGCGAGCCTCATGACCCGGTGCAGCGTGACCTGACCGCGTTGGATCAGGAGCTGGAGAAGCAGACGGTCCAGCTGAGGGAATGGCAGATGCAAGAACTGCTGAAGCTCCGACAACAGCTTCACTCACTGGAGAGAGAGAAGCATCAAACACACCTGCAGGAGGTACGACTGTGCACAGCCTGCTTTCTTTGGTCCCCTTTGTTGTGGCTATGCAAGGATTCACGCGGAGTTGTGTTACTTGATTTGCCCGTGCAGGCCTGCAGATGGACATTAGCCTGTTGCTAAATCCAGTACATGGCACCTCTTCTCCTTTTTCAGATTGATATATTTTTGTAGCACATGCTCCCTGTTGTAAATATATGTGAAACACTAAACATTTACGAAACCAAACTAGAAAAACACATGCACGCATCCATGTTTGAAAAGTGTGAATTCTCTCCTGCAAACTGAACACACTTCTGCATCCTCAAGGTGACACACTGTCACTCGCAGGAATTCTTAAATACACAAAAACGTCATTACCAGAGTTCATTACCAGCTGACCTCGTAGGAACGTGGCACATCTGCGCAGCGATTTGCTGACAGGTGGTCGTCTGCTGCTGTGTCTTGTTAGGCCTTGCAGAAGTTAAAGGAGACGACCGTTGAATGCCAAGCAGCTCAGCTGAAGAAGCTCAAGGAGACGTGTGAAAAGTAAGTGCAGTCGTTTCCCCTTTGCACGGCCAGATAGGAAAGGACGGAACCCAGAGGTCACCGCCACAGTGAACTTCTTCTTTTCGTAGTTCAGTATTATTAAGTCTGCGCAACATGTGCAATATTTGAAACGTGTTCAGGTGTTGTGATGTAATTGCGTTTGCAGGGAGAAGAAAGAACTGCAGAAAATCCTGGACAGGAAGCGACAAAACAGCATCTGCGAAGCCAAGACCCGCGACAAAGACAAGGCGGAAACGTAATGGGCTCGTCTGAAATTCCAGACGTTTGTTGGATATTTTGGCAGTTTCACACTTATGTCTTTTAATCCTTCTTTTTAACATTTATTTTCCACGCTATCTCTCTCCCCGTAGGGAACTGAATGAGATCAACAGAAAACACATTCAAGACTCTGTCTCGTTAATCCGCGGGGTAAGTGCACAAGCACACGCATGCTTATCTCCAGCTACTTTACAGCACACAAAGTAAAGCAAAGTGGGGAAAACTTGATGACGGTGGCAGGAAAGAAAACCCTGTCATCCACTTTACTCAGACTCTTGTCACACATTATCTTGCTTTCTTACCTACCTCTTTTCATGCCATGTTTGCGTTCTGTATTTTCCTACTTCCCCTGCAACCAGCTGGAGGAGGCTCAGACCCGGAGGCAGGATAAGCTGATGCTGCGTCAGCGGGAGGTGCTGCAGCAAATAGACGAGGAACTTCCACTGGTGAGATCAAATCACATCCACTCGCACACGCTGCGCCTGAATGCAGCTTGCTTCATAGTTGCCCCGGTTCGTCTCTCGCGCAGATGCAGTCCAAGTTGGAGCGGGAACTAGAGCAGGAGTATCAGAGGCTGCCGGAGGAGATCTGCCAGCACCTCCAGTTGGAGCTCAAAAGCAAAGGTCTCCGGAAAGACGCCCTGTTCTCGTCCCATTGCCACCGCAGCAGCCCGAGCCCCGGCCCCGGCCCCGGCTCCGGCCCGCCCTCCAACTGCTCCACGCCGTCTTACCCGTCGACGCCCGATCGGATCTCCTGGACCCGCAGCATGGACAATAGCACGGCGTCGTTGGCCGATTCCACCTCCTCGTCCACCACTCCCGTCCTTTCAGAGGCCGAGATGTCGTTCAGCTAGAATTCTTACTTGTTAAAAGGAAAATACAGTTCTTTCAAGTAGGGGTCATAATTAATATAATGTGGGATGTAATGATGTTAATAATCTGCTAATTTTATTCCTTCTTTTACTACAGACTGTTTAGTTCCTGTCTACAGAGTTATATTATTTTTTATTTAGCTGTTTGTCAGATACACATCGTGACATTTGTTGGAAGATGTGTGTCCAAACTTTTGGATTTTTTACATTCATTGTCTGTCCGTCTTGCTTTTAATGTCATATTCTTTCATTATTGCCTTTTTCTATGGTCAGTAAGCTTTGCCACATCTCGAGCTTCTTGTTCACTCCACTTCAGCTGTGGCTTTCAGCTTGCTTTAACCTCTTCATTGACACTTTTTAAAATCTTTAAACTGTTGGGATAGGAGCCGCGTTAGAAAATTGCTGCCATTGCACATTGTAGGTTACCTGTTGCTGGCCCAAGCGATTACAGCTCATCTTTTAGGATTGAAACCTGCAACTTTAGATCAGATGTGATTGCTTCATAATGCCTCATGTCCAACAAAAACATTAACTATTTTGACCGTCCGCCTATGGAGAGGTCTGCGTGGCAAAAAACAAAATCTTCTCCCCTTTTGCAAGTCAAGTCTTAGCGGTTGGAACGATAGTACCCAGAAACTTTTCTTTTCTTTTTTTTTTAGCTGCAATTGCAGAAGCGAACCAGCAGGCGATGCTGAAGGCTTAGCTGTTGTTTTTAAACGGGAGGTTTGATCCTTCCATTCATCCATCCTGATTATCCTATTATACTTGTTCCCCGACACACTCGCCCGTCTCAGCGGGATTTGCAGCGTCACTGATCAGGATATGTTCTCTGACCTTTTAAACCCCAAATCAAAATCCAGCCACGGTTGCATGAATAAGGTGGAGGCAGGTGTGTGTGTGAGTGTGTGTGTGTGTGTTGAAGTAAGGGTTTTAGTGATGTAACACCCTCTTTCGCACACACCTGCCTGACACTGTGTTTTACTGAGGCTTCTATGAGCATTTTATCCACAGTTTAAGTGGCTGTATGTTTGTGAAGAAGTTAATCTCTGGATGAGAAATCTGAATGTTCCTACTCGATGGAAAAAGTCTGCAGTTTGTGCGTGAATGTGTGTCTTTCCATCTTTGTGCATGTAATTACTTTTCCCCTTTTGCAGCCTAGAGACAGACAACATGCTTAGGCTGCACTTTGACATTTTAATATATACAACAACGAAAAAAAGATTAGCTGGAAAGAACCATCACATCTCTGTTGACAGCTTGATGCTTTATTTCACTGAAATGTTTTACTTCTTATTGCCATTAGGGTCCAGCAATTGTGGGCATGAAAACGTCCAGTTCTGTTGTTCCCAGACGTGTCGGAGGACACAGGAACGGCTACATTCCACATGGTTCCCTCAGTGTTCAAGCCAAATACTGAATGTGGAATTTTCATGCACAAATGGTACCTTATGTTAGGATTCTGTCTTTTTCTCTATCAACTTTTTGTTTTGTCCATTACTGGAGACTTTTAAAATGCAATGTTGTTTTTTTCTTCCTTGTGTTTTCCACCTCGAGTGGTAAAATGACGGCACGAATTCTGTGTAAATGTTTTTTTTTGTGTGAATTGTACTACTGACTAGTGCTGAAGAGGGACAGAGGGCAATGAAGGGAGAGCAAAGAAACTACTTTTTTTTTTTTTAGAGGGGAGATTTTTAGACGACATTTCTGCCTTGTCCTCCTCCACCTCCCTCCTTCAATGAGCACTGGCTGCCTGTCTGTCTGACCCCCCCGACCCTCCTTGAACCAAACGTCATTGTAAACTATCATCTATTTAAATGGAGCTTTGACAATGTTTTTCTTTTGTCGTTATTTGAGTTTTCATAGATGCATGAAATAATAACTCATTCAGTTGAACAATTTGACGTTTGTAGTTTCTCCAACGTATCAAGTCTACGTTGCAGAGATAGTACATAATATCTTTCCAGGTCATTTAAAACTCATCATTGAGCTCCGCTTTTTCAGGTCGACCGCCATAAAGAATGTAACTTGGCGGGAAAATGCAGCTATGAGATATTTGGTTTGTCTTATAGCTCATTTCCAGGACTTAATATCAAACACACCTTGTGGGGCCGGCACTGGAACGAGCACCTTCACCTTGTGATTGCTCACAATTTAAGTCAAAGTTTGCCCGCCTGCATGCAGTGTGCTACGTTGCATATATTATGTCTAATGCTTTGGAGCAGCTAGTTTGTGGGATTTGCTTTATGATGTAAGGATACTGGTAAAACAGTCAGCCATCTCCCCAAATCCAATGGTTTATTTAGTACGGCGATGCATTGCTCACATGTTGTCTGCTTTTAGTGTCGAGGTGGTCCAACCCATTTCCAAATCCAGTGGCAAGTATTTGGATATATTTGTACATTATTGCTAATTACACTGATTATTTTAAATCTCATTTTAGCTGAGATTATTTTCATGTTAAATGCACTGTTACTATTCTGTGTGTTTTGTTTTGTTCCATTTAAAATCTATCTTCGCTTCCTGTGGCATAGTCATCAATACAACCCTCTTTGTTAATTTAATGGATTCGTTGGCATAAACTAAATGTACAATCATTATGTTTTGCTAGGTGATAATAATGATGAGGTGATGATGTCTTTTCTAAATTCAATCAGTGCATTTCAGGTTCACTGAGTACATACTATGACCTATTGATTGACTGCTAGCTCTGAGACTGGACACGAGGTGCTTTCAAACTGTTTTAGTTTGAATACTACGATCGTCTAATGATGATAAGTGAGTGGTTAAATGCCCCGAACAACCTGAAATTATTCAAAACGCCTCATTTCATTTTACAGCTGGTCATTCAGAGTTAAAGCTGCACTAATTCCTATTTTTATTTTAACGTTGGACCAATTGATCATGTGAAAGGGTCACACGCCTTTTACATTTTCATCCATTAAATGAGAGAATGTGTCCAAACCTTTGACTCGTGCTGTATGTATCTCATCCTCATGTCTGCAGTTACATTTTATGTTCACATTTTTCATTTAGCTGACGCTTTTATCCAAAGCGACTTACAATAAGTGCACCAACCAAGAGGGTTCAGACCCAGAACAATGAAAGTCAAGAAAGCCAAATCCAAACAGCCAAAGTACAAAGTGCATTACTTCACAAACGACATGCTAAATCATTAGAATTTGCACAGTACACATAGTACACATAGTACTACCTGCCAGTCCCAGGGTTGAGCCTGGAGTCAATACTCCTGGCAGGCTTTTTGCAATACAGGTAAAACTAGGATCACTAAACATAAGATAGAGGATGAAAGACATTTGGATATCGGCCTTTGAACGATGGTCTAGATTCACTTCACGTGTAAACCTTGTGCTTCTTCACTCCATGCTTCTATTTGGCCCGTGCTGCTTTTGCACACATGAAGAGAGAGACGGAGAGGAGCGGGACGTCCGTACGCACGTTTGACCTCGCAACATGAACTTTATGTTGCGAGCATACGTGTGTGTTATGCGCGCTGCAGCATTACTAACACAAACCCTCCTTGACTCTGCTCTCATTGGACATATGGTGTCCAATAAGTTTCCCTCAGGCTCTCCCCGAGGCCTCTGGCTGTCATGTCTTCTCTCCCTCATTTTCCTCCCCTCTCTACCCCACTGTTCCACTTCCTCTTCTTCAGTGTGTATCCATAATGAGAGCATCTTTACGTTTGGACTACACTAGTTAAATTGATTTAAAATAAGCCATGTTTGTACTTGTATAGCAAAGAGAGCATGTGGTTTACATTCGGGCAGGATAAGTTATTTTTACTCTGTGCATGTGTATATGTAGGGACGTGTAAGGGAATACTATTCAATGATCCACGTGTAATATTTCATTCATTGTGTAAATGAGAAATAAACTTGATTCTTCCTGTTACAGAGCTGAGCCTTTGCTTTCTTGTGTGATGAAGACACTGTTCGTGCACAATCATAGACGGGACTGACTGTTGCTGCAACATTTACAGCTCGTGGTGAATGTGGTTGTTTAAGCCCCCCCCCGTCCCCGTATTTCAGGCTTTCTTGCACTTAGCTGCAATCCATTTGTAATAAAACGTCTAAATTATTTAACACTTTTTGTCATATCGTTTGCTTTGACTTTATTTCATATGACACACTCTGTTTTGAGCCGCAGCTTTTCCTTCAAACTCATTTAGATGCGTCAGTGTTTGCAGAAAGTAGAGAGACCAGAAACTGTCATGGAAATATCCAAATATATCTGGGGTGGGCACACTAGAAATACTGGGCTCAACAAGCTGGGATGGAACCAGAGAGGAGAGGCAAGAACTGTGTTGAGCATATTGCTGGTTCAGACCGACAGCAGAGAACATATGTATGTACAAAATAAAGGAAAAACATCACATATTACAAGCTTTTTGCAGATGAGTTGTTTCAACATGGTTTATACTCCCTTTTCAGGATTTCTTAAACGGTTTTTGGGGGGATTTTGTTGACATTCTGTAGCATTATTGTTTAACAACTTCCTTCAACATACATACATATTTGTTTGTTTGGATTTGTCTTTCGAGAAGTTATTCTTCTACATTGCATGATTTCTATATTCACGACACACAATACTGAATGTTTTTATGCAACAAGCAAGCTGTGATTAATAACCTGACGAACACTTGTTATGGGGAGCAGATTTGTAGCATTAAATCTAAGCTACAGTGGAAGCATTGAAATGGGCCGTGGACGATTCAAATAAAAATGCATGCATTTCATGGCACATTCGGGGGATTAGTGCGCACATTCTGGAGAAGTGACCCTTTTTGTGATGCTTTTCATGCTTTACGTAACCGCAGCGCCTTACTCTGCAAAGAAAGGTGACACATTGCATCCGACTGTCAGCCTCAAGACGTCAGCTTTATCTTCATACTCTCACCTCAAGTTCTTCTCCTTCTGTTTTTCTCTCCTATTATTACTGTTACTATTACTTCAGAGGAGGGAATTGGGTTGAGATGTTATCAACATTTTGTTTATGCTAAATGCATTCAGATGTGTCATTTATTATGTTTGATAACATCATAGATTGTCGTGTCACCATTTAAATTCACTTTTCCATTTCACAAAATCATTGTTTTAGGCTTAATCCCGCCAAGAAAAACTTCATCTCTCACTCACTATATATGTATATATATATCCAATTAAACAACTGTCAAAATGTGTTAATGCATGAAGGCAAACGTTTGGACCCCGGAGAGGGAGACGATCGACGTAGCATGTTGCTTTCTGTCTGTTTCTTCATCCCACAGGTTAAATCTGTGTGAGCATCGACTCTGTCACTCCGCTCTCACGTTCAATCTGTTTGTTGCTTTCTCTCAATGTCTGTTCTGGTCACACTCATACCGATCCGTCTGCCTTTCTTCCTCTCTTCTTCCTCACACACTTTTTTTGCTGTCCATCTTCTTTCCCGTCGTGATGTTTCTCCTCTCCCTCAGGACTGTTGTTTTTACTCTTTGTCTCTTCGTCTTGTTCTCCTCCAACGGAGGACGGAGACTTGTCTTGCTGCCGTGGTTACCACGGGGTCGCTTTGGGAATAACATCTGCCACTTTGTTGTTTCCTAAACTGACAGAGAAGAACGAGAAAAGGGAAAAGAGACTGCGACAGAGCAGATTTTCATAAACTGTTTCAAACCTCAAAGTTTGTATTTCTTTTTACTCATGAGTCTTAGAAACAGGTTAGAAACACGTGCACACGGCACTTTGGGCCTCAGGACAAATGAGGCCCAAAGTGCCTCAGGACAAATCGGGGAACCAGTGGAGCTGTTTATTGGCCCAGGGGTCCTGGTCAGGTCCCAGGTGTGTGTTGTGCGTGAGTGTTTCATCTCCAGCAACCACTCCCCTCTGGCCAGCGCTATAAATATGATTGTGAACCTTTTTGTGTTGTCAGGTTGCATAACAGCTAAAAAAGCTGCAAGGCTGTTAAGTGAAATGAATTTAGAAAGCGATGCATGAACAAGGGCGGTTTGCGGGTTGACCTTCAAAAAGCACTGGATGGAGGCTGACCCCTCGCATCCACATGGCATGGAGGTTAGCTCTATAGCACAACATTTCATACAAACCGTTTTGACCAACCGAACTCCACAAACAGCAGGTCTGAATGGAAGCAGATGCATGCAGAGAGAGTAGCTTTGCGTGATGTCGGCCACCGTGCAGGCGTGAACCTGTTCTGTTGTGATTGGTCGGGTCGGATCCATTCCGACAACAACCAGCCCCTGTGATTGCTGCATCCTTTGCAGGATGTAGACAGGCCCAACGTTTCGTTACCCTTTGGGATGGTGATTAGCCTTCCCGTTGCTGTTTCACCGGAAGGAAGACGATTAGAAATCTGGTCTAATGGCCAGTTTTGATAGCCGACAAATTTTTAATGCGGCTGATAATGAATGACATATCGATTTGGTTTGTTCATTTATAATTTCCGACAGGTGGAAATGGATCAAAAAGTTGGAGGAGGTCTATCTCTTCCTTTGTAAATAAACACTCATAGTGACCTCTGAGTGTACATTTCAGCAATCTGTCACTCCTAAAAGTCTTTTTCAACTAATTTTGACAGGGAAGTACTAGTAACTTCAGACTGATGATGACTGATTTTAATTCCAATTTCAATTTATGATTTCTAATTATTGGCAGTTATGTGGCTGACATGCCAACACAAACTCAGGACAAAGAAAAACCCTTGCGCTCTTGGCGACCTCTTTAATTGTGTGGAATGATTGATTATTTTCATAATAGCCAAATGTAATACCATAATGACACATTTACATGTCATGCAGTATCGCTGACCCTGAAACATAACCAATTGCGAGTGTATGCTTTAGTCAATCTGTTCTGGCCACCCAGGCACAGGTCACATGTTTAATGCATCTTTCAAATATTCTAAGGAAAATGTGCAAATGTAAAGCAAGGCCCTGGCTAATTTACCACTCATCGGTTCAATCCAAATATAATTACCGTAGTGTATCTGTTGATTGCTGAGCAATAAGGGAAATTAGCATCTTAATTCTTAGGAATATCCTCGGCTATAATTAAGTTACAACATCTAGAAAAGATACAGACGCTCTGCTGAGCATTTGTCAGTTTTATTTCATCTTTGGAAAAAAAAAAGAGTAAAGGAAAAGTTTGGTCTTCGAAAACATCGATATCTTTTTCATGTCATTTCATTGTCAGCGTTTAAAAATACTTTACTCTTTACTACGACATTTCCAACATCAACACTGTATTCAGAATGGGGTTAATTCATGCATCGACACACTCATGGTCAGATTGATATGAAGATGAACACACACACACACACACACAAAGAGGGATACAAGCAAACAGCCTTTGTAGATTGTTAATTGTTGATGTTTTACTCTCTGAGGGCATTTTTTTTAAACAAAACCAAACATCACCAAAACAACACAAAATGATTGTGACAAGTTGATAAAGCAATTATAAAATAAAAGAAGAAATTTAAATACCACATAATCATATGAAAAGCACTTTGTGACCTCAAAAATAGGGCTGCATTGAATAATGAAATGAATAGTGGATAATTATTGAGAGAGAGAAAAGACAGGTAAAAAATAAATATATACTAAGTACAGATAAATAGTGCCTGATTAATAAACTCTCTCTCTCTCTCACACACACACACACTAGTGATGTTTCAAAATGTGAAATGCAGCAAAGCACAAATAATGTTTTTGAAAATACTGGCTCTTTACAAGCTGGTTATTTTTGCATTCAAAAACCAAATCCTTTACACAATATCTTAATCTCAAGTTAAAGTTTCACAAAGCATACAACAGCATTGAGAGAGGAACTCCATCATCATTTGGCAGGGTCGTGACCGACACTGAGGACACAGAGGTCGTGCCCTCTGTATTCTTTATCTAAATGGGGTTTAAGCAAATTGGGAGGGGAGACATTCAACGATTGAAACCATACTCATGGTACGTATTGGACATGATATATTAAAATGTGATGACTTTCTGTATGTGGCTACTAGGTCAATAAAATACCTATAAATCTAACATACAATATAAATCTTTTTTTTATTAATAATCTCCACATCCCAAACTCAGATGTCTGTTAATACACATATGCAGAGCAGAGCACTTAGACTTAACAATGACAGTGTGTAGTGTAAAATGACTGGGATGTAGAATGAAATACAACGGATAGTGATAGAAACAAAAGGAGAGGCACACGTAACACAAAGAAAAGGAGGAAGGAAACGCATTTCATGAACACCGTGAACGTACACGTAATGTGTGTTGAAACGTGCCCGCAGAGAGAGGAGGAAAATGAATGAGAATTGTCACATTCACTAGAAAAAGGGCAAGCGGATAAAATGAGAAACATCAAAAGAGAATAACACACACACACACACACACACACGTCTCACACACACCAGTAACAGTCAAGAAGACGATGGCTTGCAGATAGATGGTCGCTAAGCAACAGTCGAGAGACTAGAAATACGCTTGCGTTTCTTCACTCACTTAAAAAGCATGTGCACACAGATGCACAACGGCTCGCTCTCTGTTGTCTTCCAGCGAGGCTGATCAACCTTTAAAAAGCCCATCATTCTAAATCAGTCCCAGGATTCTTGCGTTATCGTGGCGTCAGCAGCCACGTTGACCCGCCCCCTTATTCTCAAACTGGAAACGGTTACGGAAGCCACTGAGAAGCACAGTTTGGCTCCTCGGAGTCCCAGGAGCCACGACGACAAGCCAGTCACGTCAAAACCGGTGTGCGAGAAGACTGTAGTAACTAAGACAACGGAAGGATCTCGATGGTTAGTCAGACAGCCGGTGGAAGTGCAGGTTGTTTTGGATTTAGTCAGGAAACTTTGGATTTATGTAGAAAGATTCCAGTCCGGACGTTCGCTCTGTCATTGTCATATATCACAACGTCGCTTGGCCAGTCTCCAGCTTTGGATCACACTGAAATATCTCTGCAGCTCTTTAACAGATTGCCAGGAAATTTCACAACATGTTGCCAGGACGATGACTTTGAGTTGTCCACCATGACCGGGTTTGAGTGAAAGGTCTAGACAAATCTTTGAATGAAATTTGGTACTGAAGTGAGTCTACAAGATCCAGGGAAGCTCCTATGTGGTCTGCAAACGTGTCTCCAATCTCTAGACAGCAACATTAAAACAATTATATTTCTTTAAGAAGAGCAAGAGGATCTTAACAGGTGATGCAACGGCTCCAAGCCAGGAAACAATTTTTCTGCTTTTTGTGGATTTTTTGTGGAACTAATTTAAATTTCTCATTCCCTTCATTGCTCGATCGAGTGCAAGGAACTGAAGTTGCATTGAAAATGTCACATTTGACCAAAGGGTTATGCATATACAGGCATTTTCGCCCGTCAGATCGACGGGCCTCCGCTCCAATTCCCCACTTGTCTTGCATGAACGCAAGCACTAATGTTAACAGGGCCGAGCTTGTGTGGCGTCGAGCCCGGGTCACGACTGAGCTGGTTTTGTAAAGCCTGCATTTACATGCAGTGGTGGGTAATTTCGCCATAGTTTACAAGGCAGGTAAATTGTTGTTTTCAGTGCCATTTTCCCTTAGTCAACAGGGGTATAACAAATAGCTAAATTATTGTTTTTCCTCATGATTTTCCTTCCACGATGTTGTTAATAAAAGGATTACATGTGATAATGATCTGCGCTGACTAACTATGTGCCATCCGTCCTGTCCAGATCCAGTCTGGCCCCCGTGCTGTCGGGCTATCCACATAATGTGAATATGGAGTTTATACAAAAAATAAAAGCATGGTAGATCTCAAATAATCCGCGGCGGAATGTTCTCGTGAAGCTATTCTGACATCACACTTTCACACCCACACACCCAATGGCTGAATCAACAAACTTTTTCACAAAAACACAAAACATCTGCACAGCTTTTGACACAGGCTCATATCCATTGAAAATACCACTGCGTAAGCACATTTATCCGTAGTGTGAACACCTTGATAAATTTAGATATTGAAGTTGTACTTTTACATCTAGCAGCTTGTGGGACTCGTTCAGTGCCTGCGAGGTCAAACTGCACCATGAAAATGATCGGTGGTCTGTGACAGTGTTCTTCTGATAGATCTTTGGATAGCACAGGTTTTTTTTTTTTTTCTTGAGTACAAAGCACCGTCCCAACGTTACAGCTGCTGCAGTCCTGCAACATTTCAAAGCTGCCATCCGAGTCTTCTCTCCGTCTCTGAAACTCTGCTTTCATGTGCACCATCTTACAGCCTTTTCCCTTGTGAAGGATTTTATTTAAATGTATTCTTGCATGGTTTTGCAGAGGTAAAAGGATTATCTTTTCATCCACTTACAAAGAGGGTGTGGGGGGGGGGAGGGGGGGGCTTCACATAAATTAAATGTCAATGTTTTTCTCACACACATCAATAAAAGTTTCTTATATTATCATGAACAATTAGAAACACTGTATACGGTCATAGTTCTCATTTTTCAACACTGCAGTCGCCATCTACTTCTTTGTGGTTGTCAAGGTCACAACCGGCGTAATCCTTCATTCTGAATGGTCCCATTTTGATCTTGTTAGTTGATGTCTCTTGGCGTTACATCATTTACTACCAAGTTCCAGTTTCAGCTGTGCACGTTTGTTTCACGTGTAAACGGTGTACATCACGGAGTGTAGTGCACAACGTTTCTTCATCGCACAAAAGACAACGATCAGTAGGGGGACTTTTTACCCCCCCCCCCCACCCCCCGTGCTTATCACACAGTCATTTTGCTTCTTCATCCCAACTTCATCCAGGAGCTGATCCAACATCTTGATCCTCCATGTTACATTCTATCCTACAAACACCTCAAAGGTTTTTTATCTCCAGCTCTCCAATCTACAGTCATGTCTTTTGTATTTTTACAATTGCACGGTAACAACATCAACACGTGACGCCATCGAAGTTTGGGGGGGAAAAAAAAGGGGTGTTTTTGTCGGACAAATTAGGCTTTTTATTGGCATAAAAGGAGCGGGGCTTGGGATTGGCTTAATCAAAAAGAAGGTTGGTTGGTAGTGACTACAGCATTTCATTATCACAACTTTAAGACAATTCCTACAGGGGGGATAAGAGTAAGGCAAGAGGGGGATGGAGGAAATGAATACAGTGCGTGTGTGTGTTTGTGCGGTTGGGGGTTACAACTATTTTGCACAGTGTATTCAAGAAGAGAAGGAAAAAAACATCAATTGTCTGTTTTCATCTTGCCTTTTCGCCCACAAGTTAGTGAATGGTCTTCCACAGGAGATTCACCTGAGGGCCCCGAGGTGTGTGTGTGTGTGTGTGTGTGTGTGTGTGTGTGTGTGTGTTTGGGTGTGCATTTGGGGGAAGAGGACTTTAAAGTAATAACTCACTGCTAGTATAAGATGGAGTTCAGTGGGTACACAGGAGGATCCACCAAACTCGCGAGGACGACAAAGTAGAGGCGGAATAACCGAGAGAGAGTGAGAAGGGGATGTAGAATGCTTTTCCCATCTGTTCTTATTTTAGTATTTCTCTGATCTCGTCATGGACTTTATCCAGACTTTAGTTGCCTCGAGCCTGCTCTCTCACTTTTGGGCAATTATCTCTTTTCCTTCTTCTTCAGAAGCCGGCCAACAGCTCTCCTTGGTGTCTATCTCTCCTGCTCTCCCGCTGGTTTGGCACTATACTGGGACATATCAGCCTTTTATATACTATCAAACAGCGCTGTGCACCAATCATCACGGATGATTAAGGTGACAACATAAAAACCTGCAATGTTCTCATTCATTCTTTCTGTTAAAAGGGATTTATTATTCTAGAAGTTTCCCATCAGTGGATGTAAGACGGCTTTTCTTTCAAAAGCTGCTAATGCCGACGCACGTTTGGATATAGTTTGACACTTTTAGTGTTTTGTGATGATACTCATCTTTTCAGGAAATTAATAAATACAAAGAATAGAACTCTACACTGAAAACTCTGCCCATACGGATCCACCTCTATGACTCATCGTTCCCATCTACACTCTCTCTCTCTTCCCATTGGCAGCAGTTCTCTCTCTCCCCTCTCCACTTATAACCCTGGTATATGGCAGTACGCATCCAGCGACGCCAGCAGGATGTAAATCAGCCACATGGAGACAAACAGCAGCGACGTTATCATCTTGCAAGTCCGCGGTCCGCCCAGCTCGCCGCCGGCCACCGACGCCCGCCGCCGGTACAGCAGCATGCACACACACAGCCCGGCCATGATGGTGAAGAGGGTGACGGAGAAGGCCAGGTTTCCCGGGTCCACCCTGAACACCTCGCCCTTGGAGCGCCAGAAGACGGCCGCCATGGTCCACGCCACGCCGATGCCGAGGAAGACGTTGACGGCGTTGGAGCCGGTGACGTTGCCGATGGAGGCGTCAGCGTACTGGTCCTGGATGGCGGCAACCTTGCTGGCGAACGTGTCTGGATTAGAGAGGAAAAGTTATGAAATGTAAACAGGGATTATATAGCATTACTATTCAACATGGATGGAAATAAGTGTCATTATTTTTAATGATCTTTCATAAAAGGCACCCCAACCTAAAATGGAGTATTAAACAATACAAATGTAGGTCCATACGTTTGCCTTCCTTTTGACACAGTTGTTTAATTGGTATATATATATATATATATATATATCTCAACCTCATACATGATGGTATTGGGTATCATACAAGGCCACTTAGAACCAGTTAGCGTGAACAGCTGTTGGTATTTATAGAAATAATTACATATTTATTGGATATCATGTTGTAATGAGTCAACAATCTTAGGTGATGAATCTTTTTGACCAATCATAAAAGGACATTATATATTTTTTCTTATTCTTAAAATGAGACTGTGGGTCTTTCTTAGTTCGCAGTCACACACTCTGTCGTAAAACACAACTCCGCAAAATAATCTGTATTGAAACAAGCAGTGAGCCTTCATTCAAAATGAAATAAGACTTTGCATTAATCATTTGAAATGCTTGGCTCCGAGTTGAAAGTAAACACAGAAATGAGCTATTGAGTTGGTGGTTGCTGACTGTTATGTTTGCTGGTTGGTTTACCAGCTGTTTGCCCTGTAAGTATTCCTGGACAGTTAGCAAAACTAGCCACATTTATTTTGATTATTTTGACAAGCATTTGAAATGAAGAATATTCCGTTTAAAGTGAATGAAAAGCTCTTGAATGATTGTCCAAAATGATAGCCAGCCACAGTCAAAACCCATCAATTTAGTCAGTTATATACGTCATTTTCCAACTATATACTGAAAATGAAACATCAATTTAACCAGGATTACTTCACTCATTGTTCCTTTTCCGTAATCCGTAGTTGTATATCATCATCAGCCTCAGATGGAACAAATGTGGATTTAATATATGCTGCAAATTGCTTTAGTTGCATACGTATATGCGTACGTGAGTGAAGCATTTCCTGCAGCTATTGGGTAAAAAGCAGAGACTCTCGAACTGGGTTGGCAGGGAACACCGGGGGAACAGTTGGCAGTAATCGCATGCCCGTCTCGGCTTATTTCTATTCATAGACAGAGACATAGAGTGAAATAAGGGTCAATTCTCATGTGAATCTCAGCAAGATTATTTCAAATTCCAGCCCCAACATTCAAGAAAAATCCTCAAACTTTCTTGGGGGTGATGAATCTTAATAGGGCTGGTAGAAGACCCCACAAAAGCAGAGTTTATGTGTGTTGACACAAAGGCCCATGAGGGTGTCGATTTGAATCAGAGTCATAAAACTGCACATTACAAGAAAACTTTTGCATCATATATTTAATATTCAGCAAGTTTGAAGTGATATATTCACAAGCTGTTGTGAATTACTTTCCTAAAGATCCCGATTATTAAAGAATACGTGGTACTTTCATAAACCGTGTGTACCTGGACCCAGGTTACTACCTGTAATTCAAATTCTCAATTTCAAATAATAATTCTGTGCACTAGTCCTTACTGTACAGTATGATCACATCACCTGCGTAGGTAGTGCTGGGCCGCAATACTTTTTTAAATTTGGGGTGAGTGACCCTTTAATAATCATGTCCAAGAAAAAATGCATACTGCGCCAGAATGAAGACAATCTGTGACCTCCACAGGATTTGTGATCAGCGTTTGTCCTCTAATTGCCTCAATCTGCAAATCTGGTCTAAATTGGCTGGATAATCCTTTGGTGCCTTCTTATTAATAATGTAGAAAAGTATCATGCCTAAGGAGGGAAGGGTGCAGGAGAGAGGAGAGGTATGTTTCTAATAACCTGTAAGGAGATCTCAATGTACTAAGGGACCCATTTTCACTCAAATCAACTTGCGTAGCTCAGCACACGGGTCACAATGATGGATGGAACAGTGAAAACCCAACATCCAATAAAAGGAAGGGAGCGAGCGAGTTAGCTAGCTAGAGTTAGTTAGTAATAAATTGACCGGGATGGGGAACGAGAATGTGAGAGAGCGAGGAGGGAGACACAACAGTGTGGGAAAAGATCAAATAAAGAAAAGTGAAAAAAAAATTAGAACAGGGGAGAAAAAAACAAGACAAGCCCCAAAAAATATCATGGACATGTGAGTTGTGGACCAACACACTAATAACGGATGTGTAATCTGTCGCACACGAGTATATCGGGTTGGTGGAGGAATTGATTCAAACCTCGCTTAAAGCCTTCAAGGAGCGTGGAGGAGTAGCAAAGAGCATTTTCTATAAATCATATGAGGGGGGGGGGGGGATAAAAAGGCTGACGAGGGGAAGAAGGAGGGGAATTGAATTAAAGCCCCGAAACAACGCATCCCCTGCAGGAGGAGGCGAGTCCAGGCTGAAGCCTCGGTGATGGAGACGACGTTTTTACAATTCAATTTTTATTGCCAGCGAGCCCACTGAGGGCGGCTGCTATTGAAATCAGATGGAAAAGAGGCGATAACTCATCTGTTATTGTTTGCACGTCTGGCACATTGGAAATTTGGGATAAGAAATATGAATCACACTTCCCCACTGCCTTGGTGGGGGGAGTTTTGGGCTCGAATGTCATCTCATGTCAGTCAGGAATCATGTGCTGTGAACAAAACGTGAACTTCACGCGTTCATGAAACCGCCCCCCACTCACCTGGCACCGATGTCCCCAGCGCCACGAACACCACGGCCGTCACAGAGTCCTTCAGCCCTATCGTGCAGCCGAAGTGCGACGCCAGATCGCCGGTGACCGCCGTCAGCACGCCGATGAGCGATATGGAGACTATGAAGCAGGCCCAGCCGTTCCAGTACTCCGTGGGCGGGACGAAGGCGAACAGGACCTTCCAGAAGACGGTAAGGAAGTGCATGATGTAGTCGAAGCAGGACGGCAGCCGCTCCTCGCCGCTCTCCTCCTCGTCGTCATCTCCTTTTGTGCACGCAAACGTCGAGGAGGAGAGAGAGGAATAGAGGAGGGGAGTGAATGGACAGGAACTACACGAGGTTTAAAGTTGATTAATACTAATTATGGTTTTACACTGAGTTAAACCACAATTGGGGCTAAAGGGCACTATGGTGCTTAGTGTTAACAGAGAAGGAATTGCCTGTATGGGTTATGTAGGATAAGCGATGAATCTAGTAGACCTCGAATAGATAGATACACAGATATAAATGCAGCAAAAGGTTCAAATTAAAATGCCATTGCATACCTTATTCTCAGCAATAAGCATGGTTCACACTGACTGACCACATAATGTGTTTGACGGTTCTAATTTGTGGTGCAATTTCCTGTTTCTGTCATCATGTGATTGGTTAACGATGCGTTTGCATCTGTTCGGTTTTGTCTGGCAAACAAAGCATGCTTAGACTTTGTCCAGCCGCTGTCTGATATAGTGATAACAAGTTTATTTAATGCTGAGATGATGAACAGTAAAGGGCACAATGTGCAGACGTGCTGATCGTCTGAAGAATGCTAAAGATGCTTAAGAGTGTGTGTGTGTGTGTGTGTGTGTTTTACCTGCACTGACAGTTACAGCATTGACAAACTGTTCCCTCCAGCTGCTGCTTCCCACCACCAAGGCCAGGTTGGTCTTCTTGATCAGCTTATCTACTGTACTCTAGATACACACGCACACACACACACACACACACATATAGCAAATATGCAAGTGCAGACAGACGAGGCAGAACAAGAAAGACACAATCCTCAAGTTGTTAATTCACTCGTAGCCACATAGAAGAGGGAAACCTTTCAACTAGCATTATAATAGTGTCAGGTGCTTGGATTATTATCTATGTAGTTTTCAACAACTTTTTTCAAATCAATACCAGTGTTTGGTCACAATCAAGGATTTATATATCTATATATATATATAGATATATACTGTATAGGGAAAATGCACTATTGCATAGTAGCAGATGGAAGAACTAGCATTGCATGCACAAGCAAACTAAAGAGTGACAGAGCCTTTTTAACCTTTTCAGCCTGCCTAAGAAGCATATTTACTGCTCTCTGCTCAGGCACACGCGCACACATACAAAATGACACAGATGGACAAATGAGCAAATGAAATGTACAACAAGAACATGATTAGTTACATTTTTGAGACAACACACAAGAGACAAAATCGTTTTGAATCAAAAGAATCATGAAAAAAGCAACACAAATGACGAGACAATGCACACTGTAAGGACAGCCGAGACAGAAGCCTTTGGTTTATGCTGTATGAAAGGTCAAGTTGTCTCTAATGATCCGTGGCTAAATTACAAGATTCGTCTAATATACAATGTGTTACACGACCAAGCCAATGTGGTTCTAATGAATCCTTCACCCTTTGCACCGGGACACTTCACTTCAAACTGTTTAGCTCCAATTGGTAATTTAAGTCATTCATGTTTTAGGTTGATATTCAATGCAGCTGACTTGAAGGCGACCAAACTGGCGGTTATTGTTATTTAAACGTGATTAGCTGGTGATGCATTCTGCAGAGCTTCTGATATAACGGTTGAAGGCAAACACTTACATGCACATATGCGCACAAATGGATTATGCAAATGTTAATATAACATGTGCAAAACCAACACGCTTACCTTGAACTCGTAGGACTCCTCTATGATCACTTCCACTTGGGTGTGTTCGCCCAAGCTTGGACAGCCCATCTTGGCCACTTCCTCATCCTCGGCTCCCACCAATGGCTTGTTCTCATTGGAGTCCCCTGCACGAAGGGAGGAGATACGACATATGATTGAACTCTCCTGCAATGTCTTTGCTCCGGGTAATTGGCAAAATTACCTCTTAAATGCTGTAGAGAGAGACAATACTTCCCATGTAATCAACTGAGAATTAGCGTTCTGATGGATGATGCTGCAAAGGGACATTCAAAGTCACATCCATCCCTTTTTAACTAGTGACATCGTCAGTTATGGCATTGAAATGGCTGTGGCCCCAACGTGACAACATTGCAAAAAGCTGGCGGTGAGGTAGCGAGTGGTGGGGGGGGGCTCACATGGGCGCAGCTTTGTCAACCAATCGGGTGGAAGCTCGGATAACAACACACGCGGGGGGGGGCAACTTTATTCTCTGCTCAGGTAGACAATCCTCCGCTACATCAGTATAAACAGTTGCTTGCTGCTATATTAGCGCTCCGAACGTTGAATATTGCTCCTTTCATGTTTGCAATTAGTGCAAGACTCCCCATAGTTGTAGGATTACTGTGCTGCATTCATGCATAGTATTCATTCATTCAGATTTTGCCTGCCATTTATACTAAAAATTGTATATATAGAACTCTTTTTCATTTGTCTGGTTTTGCTAAAGCAGCAGAATCGGCGTTGTGATTTTGCTGGGGCATTATATGAACACTTTGTGCAAGCGGTTGTTGAAGTCTATAATGTAAATGCCATTGTTCAAACATTGATGGGCCAAATAGGCAATCCAAGCCTCCGTGGGAATGTGACAATTATATTTCCTCCGTAAGGAAACACAGCACAAGCTTTAGTCTCTTCATGACTGACATTCAGAGTGCCGACCTTTACGCCTCGCAGCTCTGACACTCTTTCTGCAGAGGAGGCACAGCATTAAAAGCACGTTAGCAGAGCAGCAGCGTTTCTGTTGACGAAGTGAGCGTTCAGGTACAGTATTGATAAACATTGTACCATCAAAACCGATATTGCAACTGATGAAAAAACAAACAGCCTGAACTTATTTGAAATATCAGTTATTCACTTTTGATGGAATTCTGTGAGTAGAGCTTCTGCAGTCCTGTGGCGCGTGCTGGACCACTGGACAATTCTACATTAAAGACAGTATGTGAGACATACTGTCTTTTGACACCCTCTGATTCAGAAACTTCCTCCAGTCATCATATATATATATATATATATATATATATATATATATATATATATATATATATATATATATATATATGTATTGTGCAATTTAAGTAAGTATGTGTAATTTAAGTAAGTATGAGTAAGAAGGATATATAGATGTTTCTGCCTGTAACTGCTTGTGTGGGCTCCAAACCCCAGATTCAGAACCAGTAATGGTCAGACGTATATTAATGATATATTATTAATGATTGTGTAAATTACACAGGGCTGAAGGAAAGAGTAAATTAGAGAGGAAGAAAGGATGGGGTGAACAAAGACAATCTCTTTGTCAAGTGAAAGGACTCAACAAAAGTTACTCCAGATTCCATTTTTTCCTTCCTGTCATCTTGCTCATTTTCGGCCCGTGGAAATAAAACAGGAATGTCACAGCAGGACGAGCTGCAGAAATCACTTATTGACTCGGCGCTGGATCCCTTTAGCCTTGAGTCACCTGCCAACGACTCGCTGTCTGCCTGCTGTAATGAGCCTTTTAAAACTTCAACTGAAGCTTTCTACATTCTTAAAAAGTAGAAAGGCTGACATGTGAAGGGCGAAGAAAGTGGGAAATGACAGAACAGAACGGCCCATTAAGCAGGAAATACAAATGTTTGAATTTGGTGTATTTGATTGGGTGAAAACAGTGATTATGCTTTATGTCCTGTATTCCTGATATCCGTGTAATTGCTATTATTTATTATCAGTGTTTTTCACACTACTTATAAAACTTGTGGCCGTAGGCCTTGGACTTGACCAAAGACTCCATCCTTTCTGTCTGTGTTTTCCCCTGCTGGCTTACACACACACACACACACACACACACACACACACACACACACACACACACACACACAGACACACACACACACAGACACCCACCGTGTTTCTGTCCTATCTCCAACAGCACAGGCTCTCCCAGCTCGATGGTGAACATCTTGTTCTTCTCATACTCCTCATCGTCAATTATCTTCACCTCGATGATCTTCCTGTTAAAAAGCAGAGAGAAGGACGAGGCTCGGTGAGCAAATCCCAGATAATTAAACTTTTTAGCTTTGCGCTCATGACGAGCGTTTTCGTGGAGCAGTCCATTAAAACGGGGAACGTCTCACTCATCAGAATACATGCAGACAGGAGAACATTTCTGCTGCTGCTGCCTAATCTCCTTACCATCACAACCTACTAAATAACCGTAAGTAATATATAACCACAAAAAAGGACCACAATTATGTTGTCAGTTCTTAATTTTCTCTCTTGCAAGATGATGAACCGCCCCTTGAAAAGGCTGAAGCCGGCTGAAGTTCATGCTGCCCAGTGGGACACTGTGTGGCTGCTTTCTTCCCCTCACTGGCCCTCATTAGGTTTGCTTCCCGTTGACGATGATGCAATGTGCCACACTCAAGACATTTCCAGGTTTTAGGAGCTCCCAGCGGGAAAGCTCCTAAAGCACCAGGCGATGCGTACCGCGACCGTAACAAGTACATTTAAATGAGGCTGGAGGGATTTTTCTTTTTTAAATAGCAGTGCGTGCAGAGTTTCAGCAAACTGAGACAAAAAGATTAGATGACGTTGTGGTTGTTTCCGTTGGTGTATTTACAGGCAGAGAATCTTTTAATGGGGCGTTTGATTGGAACGTTTTTAACTTACTGTGACTCCAAACACCAAAGCTCTACACACTAAATATACAACACTACCAACAGCTTATTTCAAAGTGTCCGCTGCAACAAAATGTTTTTGGCATGTGTACGTTTTGGTCCTTCTATGTGGAATTGACATCAGTTTGGACTCGAGTAGATAATCTCCATCTCAACAAGCCAGTGTTGATTTCCACCTGGCCGTGTCATCGGCCACGTCGGCCGCATCGTTTTCATCGGTGAGATACGGGTGCATGTGCTGTTTCCAACACGAATGGTAGAGAAGATAAGGATGTTTCGTCAGATGTAAAACATAAGATGAAAGAAGGGAAAAACATGCAAAGCCATTGAGTAGGGGGAAAGGCAAAAATGAAATATCTGTCACATTGCTGTTTTCTTTTCTTCCACCATTCCCATGTCACCTGCCCGTTATAATTGCTAGTGGAGAGATTGACAGGTGCAGCAACAGTAACTACAGGGGGGCAGAGCACAGAACATGTGGTCAAGTGACAGTGAGTTGGAAGAGGCAGGACGGGAGTGAGAGAATGGGGCCTAAAAGAGATGAAAGGGGAGTGTGAGTAATGCACGGACTCCTTTGAGATGTGAAGGGTTACGACTTAAAACACGTCGAGGGAACAAGAGCGCGCGCACACACCCACACAGACTAATCATAGGCTTCCAACGGACAGGAACATGCGCACAGTGGATACGTGCACTCGTGCTCCACATCATGCGCTTTCATTATTCATAGTTAGGGGCCGTCTGTCGCAGCTCTTCCATCTGCTGCCTCCGCTCGCCATCTTCTATCTCAGCATAGTAATTCCTTCTCTTTTGGCCTTCTCTTCCCCTCATCTATATTCTATAAAACCATCTGGAATGCACGGTGATGTTCCATTACCATGCGCCTCACAACGTATTCTGCTTATGGTCACTTGTCTATCCCGGAATTGGTGTGAAATGATACATGTGAACGTAGCCGTAATTAATATTAGGTATTAGAAGTCTAATTCCTTCCATCCTCAGTTGTAGTTTGGCTCCAGAGATGTCAATGTAGTTCAACGTCACACTTGGTATCAATTCAATTTGGTTCAGACAGTCACAGACCTATTCCCCCTTTGCACTACCATTGAGTGTTTGAACAACTGTTTGAGGTTGAAAATCGTTAGATGTTCATGCCCCCTTCAGAATGAACTGTATTTCAAATTTTCAGAACTTTATACAAAACTATTGACAAAACCATGATTTACTTCTAAGGGAAGAGTGCTTTTGTTTTGAGCGTTGAGGTGAAGTCTCTTCTGGTAAATATTGTACAATTTCATTACAAATTTTACCGTTTCTTAACAAATTCATCATTACTCATGATACAAAGAGGTCTGCAATTAAACACAAAAAGTGGACATGCACTCCTGCATAAAACGATACATTACCCATCTTATTACATTCCTCCCCCTCTCTCTCTGTCTCGCCTTTTCTCCATACCGTGTTACTTTTTGACACCTGCTCCCCAGAAAGTTCCTCTGACAGACAGCCTCACAGCCCCGGGTGGTCGGTCAACAGAGACAGACACACACTCCACGTTCGCCCAGAACCTGCACTTCCATAAATAGAGACTGATAAAAGCCACAGCGACGGGATGGAAGAGGCTCAACGAAAGGGGCCGTTGATTGAAAAGCCCTAAACAGAATCAAGTCGCCTATAAATCAGTTCGTGGGATAAGTTTCACGTTGCGTGTGTGTGTGCGTGCGTGTGAATGTGTGTGTTTGTTTGCATGTGGCCCTAAAGTTCTCACGGAACTGAATGATTGAGCGGCAGTTTGATTTGATTAGCTGAGACGTCATCGCATTACTTAATGGACACAGACTGTCTTCATATCTCTGTCTCCATCTCGGAGATTTCTTCTGGCTCCAGCTCTACTTTTGATTTACAGCAACTGGTGTCTGCGCGCAGGTGTTTGTGTGTGTGTGTGTTTTTTAGGCATTTAAAGCCTCCCACGCTTTCAGGTGCGGTGGGCTCGAGCATTTTATACAACCACAGCAGCAAACAAATTTTCTCGAATGACAATGATTTATAAACACTCCAGTTTTACTGTTGCTGCTTACGGCAAAACTTCCAACTCAGAGTGGTGAGAGTATTCCCGCTGCACAGTCAAATTTAGATCATGAAAATGTTGTAGTTGCACGTTGCAACGCTTAAAAAACATGCAATTCACAAGACAGTTCACAAGCTTCTTAACTTCTGCACTGGCCCTTCTATGTGGATCGGGCGCCCAGAGAAAATCTTTTTTCCTCTTATCTGAATGGTAGCAACACCAAAAAAAAGTCAGTAAGGGGAAAAAAGAAAACAAGTCTGAAGGGAAGAGATATTATTACTTTTAATAATATTATGGAATATTTAATGAGGAACAACACAAAACAAACACATCCCGCATAAACACTGAGGCTAAGTGGTCTCCAGCTGTGGTGGGTAATAAAAATGCATCTCTGGTGTGTGTGGGATGACAGAGATGGATCGGTGCATGAGATGATTTGAGGTCTGAGAACGGCAGAGGGAGGTGTGGACTGTGATAGAGAGAAGGTGAGGGCAATAAGATGGAAAGCCTCAGAGGAGCAGGGATGTGAGACGAGAGAAGACGGGAGAGAAAAAAAAGAGAAAAACTATGAAGAGACAGGCGGGTTCCTGCTGGCGCTCACATGCGACAAGTTACCAAAAAACAAGGGCTGCCAAAATATCTTTAAAAAACTAATTAATCTCACTTTTAAATTCATTAATCGTGATTAGGAGAAAAAGGTTTTCTTCTATTTTCTTCAATTCTATCGTATTAATTAACGAGCAATCACTTTAGAAAGCGTGTATTTTAGACAGTTTTGTTTAATTGTATTTTCTTACATTTTGATGATCTCCAAGGCAGAATTCCAACGGGTGGAAAATGTTGAACTATCGACTCTACCTGGTTGTGCAGTTTGCTGTAATCCCAACTCTCCACCATTTGACGGCTGTGTTTTAAAGTGCCAACAAACCCCATATTTAGCCAGTTTTTTTCCAAACCACTGTCTATTACGACAAAAGTGGTGGTTCTTTGCAGACCGTGCGCTGTGCAGGGTAGATGTGGCCTCATGGTAATTTCCTTATATTTATTTCAACAGACTGTGTACAATAATGGTGTCATCTTTTAAATATCTTTCTGGTTTGCTTTTTCGATTTGTTTTGTGATCTTTCTGCTAAAGGCCCTGAATGCACAACACGACCCGGTTACGAATGACACATCATGCCGCTGACGCGTAAGGCCACTAAACTTAATTTATAAATCAAATTGATACATAAGGGTCATTGCAAGTATTGTGGAAAAGCCAAAGCACCCTTGAAATAGAAATAGAAAATCCAGCTTTAATCCACCCCATAGTGGATATCAGCCCTCAAACCCAAGAATAAAGGGAAGAGAGAGCTTCTATTGAATTAGCCGAATCTGTAAACAGCCTCTACAGGCATCCAGGAAGCAGAGCTAGACGGGTTAGAAGAGAGAGATAGAAGCAAGAAATTCAGTTAGAATCTGAAACACATAAACTACAGAGGATTTATGGTTGGCATAAAAACAGAAAGTGGAATTACACCAAATGCAGCAGTCGCTTATACAATTTAAATATTGTAGAGGTCCCTCATCGGACACACATGCGTGCACGCTAATTCCTTCCCATCTGCATCACGTTGTGTAGGATTAAGCAATGGCAGAAATCACATCATACAACTCCCCTCCTGGGGAGTCAGAACGTAACAACCACACACACACACACACAAATGATTTGATGTTCTGTAATCTACTGTACTGACGGGGGGAGGAAGAGGATGAGAAAAACAGGCAGGTGTAAAAGTAGGAAGAGAGAATGAATAACAAAATAGAAATGTGGGTCAGAGGATGGGATAATATATAATATATATACTTTATTAATCCCCAGGGGGGAATTCGTGTGTAGCAGTAATTAAAAATGCACAATATATACACGATACAATAGCAGAGAAGAATATAATAAATTCAAATTGAGAATGAAATAGAAAAAAATGAAAGAAAAACGATATAAGAGGAACGAGAAAAAAGAAAGACAGGCTAAGGAGGTCTGATCTTGTTGCCCACTGAAAGTTAGTCGAGAAAGCATGTTAGAACTACTAGCATTGCGTTTGCGCAATCAAAACTAAAGGAAACATGCAAATTTGTATTTTTTCAATAGCTTCTGCGTTTGTGTACGTATGTGTGAATCAACACTGACAGCATGGAGGGTTTCGATTGAAGGCTAAGCTGAAGATTTGAGGCTTATGACTTCGATTTTATGAGACGACTGACAGCCATGACAGCCATGGTGGCA